CCGCCACCACGTCGGCCACGGCGGGGGCGGGGGCGGGGGCCGGGGCGGGCGAGGCGGCCGGGGCAGGCGCGGCGGCCGGGGCGGGCGAGGCGGCGGCGGGGCCCTCCATGGCAGGAGAAGGAGGCTGGGAGGAGGAGCAGTTGGCTCCCGCGCTAGCGACTGTGGGTCGGGGGGGGCGATTTTTCTCTCGACCCCTACTTCTACGGATTGCAAACTGGTTTGAGGGTTGGACCTCTAAATTTTTTTACGGGTTTAAGGGTTTAGAGGTTCTAGTCTACGGCGTTTTTTCCGCGAAAACTGTAAAAAAGCAGTTATTTTTAGGGGTTTGAGGATTTGAGGACTCTACTAGTAATGCTCTAACGATTTTGTTTGCGGTATAGGAGGAGTTGCCGAGTAGTGAGCTGCACCTGGTTTTCAGTTGGCTGTAAACCGGATCGATGGGTGGAAACGTTTCACACCTTGATTGGCAACTTATGAAATTTCATGCCATTTTTTGCGAGCTGAATATAGCTCAGATGTGTCGCAGTGTAGGTTTATTGTGATGGAACCAGTCCATCAAGGTTCAAGTCATAGATTTGACGCTGTTGCTTGCACTTTCCTGAATCCGGTGATACTTATTCAGTGGGACAAGACATTCCCATCGACTACGAGATGACTGCGGTTACTTCGTTAATCTCAAAATATTATGCCGGCTTGATATCTCTGAGGTGCTCATTGAGATAGAATGTGTGTAAGCTCGTCCATAGGGGTGAGCTTATAATGACGTGGATAGCTTGGTTTAGGCTGATTTTAGGGAGTCCCGTGTCTTGGTTGGGTTGGCGAGGTGGCGATGTTCCCCAGTTTAGGAATAATGGCCTCCATGTCTTATCCCCATTCCGTAGATGCACTCAGTGCCGCTGGAGGACATGTGTAGGTGTGTGTCCGATAAATCTTCCTCGTTTCAGTTGGCTTTGGTCTCTGGTGTTATCTAGACTTGATCGTCGTTCGTGGCCTTTGGAACATCTATATGCTCTTTTTGGGTCTTATTTTTCGGGGTGATGATTTGCTATGCAAATAGTGGTAGTTTTTTTTTGCGGGGAACAAATAGCGGTAGTTGGTGTCTTCTTGTCTACATCGAAGCCTTTCCGACCACTGCTTCTAACTCTTGGATTTAAATAAAGTTCAATCCATTGAGGCTAATGCTTAGAGGTGGCATTGGCCTTCGCTAACGGAGCATTACAGATGGATGCAAGAGGAATAAGATTTTCATACCACTAACGGTTTAAATGTAAACAAAAAATAAAATATAAGCGTAATATTTTTTGCGAGGAGTATAACGGTATGTGAGGGAGTCCTGGACTAGGGGGTGTCCGGATAGCCGAACTATCATCATCAGCCGGACTCCAAGACTATGAAGATACAAGATTGAAGACTTCGTCCCGTGTCCGGATGGGACTTTCCTTGGCGTGGAAGGCAAGCTTGGCGATACGGATATGTAGATCTCCTACCATTGTAACCGACTCTGTGTAACCCTAACCCTCTCCGGTGTCTATATAAACCGGATGGCTTTAGTCCGTAGGACGAACAACAATCATACCATAGGCTAGCTTCTAGGGTTTAGCCTCCTTGATCTCGTGGTAGATCTACTCTTGTAACACACATCATCAATATTAATCAAGCAGAACGTAGGGTTTTACCTCCATCAAGATGGCCCGAACCTGGGTAAAACATCGTGTCCCTTGTCTCCTGTTACCATCCACCTAGACGCACAGTTCGGGACCCCCTACCCGAGATCCACCGGTTTTGACACCGACATTGGTGCTTTCATTGAGAGTTTCTCTGTGCCGTCGCAATCAGGAAGGATGCCTTTTCCCGTCTTTAAAGACGGCGCCGTCGTCAAGGGAGCTTTGGCCGTCGGCCAAACTATCCGGCTAGGTGGTTTTCTTATGACCGCTTGTTCGGCCACCGCTCCGACGATGACCTCTCAGGTCATCAAAAGCGATCTTCACGTTATCTCGGAATTCGCCGAGCAGCTAGATCCGATTGAGCTCTCCTCCGTAAACGAGCTCTTGGATCGCATCGCCGCCCTGGGAGTCGCTACAGACTACGATCAGATTGGTCTTAAAACCGATCTGAGAGAAATTAATTCTCCCCAGGCTACCCACCACGTTGTTGTGGTAGAGGAACAATGCGGCGACTCTTCTTCTATGTTAAAAACCAGCTATGTCCGGATTCCCGATCCCTCCATGCCGGATTCCCACGGAGGGACGGACGTCAATCAAATACTGAACCTAAAGTCAGGCATCGGACCAGATTTGTTGGAAGGCATCCAACAAACCAAGCTTCCAAATCCGGAAACTTCTTGGCCTTTGAGCCTCAGATCGGGCGGGGTTCCGAACTTAATTCCACCCGCCCACCCAAACATAAGCGATCTATCTCAAATATGGCAAGAGCCCGATGAAACCGTTTGGGAGAGAAGGCACTGCCCCTCTATCGCCTCCTCCGGCGCACCGAACATTTCGAATGGACGGATGCTGCCACAGCCGGACTCGGAGAAATTAAAGCCGTATTGGCAACAAATCCGGTCCTAGCCGCGCCCAACCTGGGCGAACCGATGTTGTTATATATCGCAGCTACACATCAAGTTGTCAGCGCGGTACTCGTCGTCGAACGAGAAACAGAAGGGCACAAATTCCCTCTTCAAAAACCAGTGTACTACGTATCTATTGTCTTAACTCCATACAAGTCCCGGTACCCACACTATCAAAAGATAGCGTATGCGGTGTTCATGGCATCCCGAAAGCTGCGACACTACTTTCAAGAGTCTTCCATAACGGTGGCCTCCGAAGCACCTCTCAACGACATTATAAACAATCGCAATGCGACGGGCAGGATTGCAAAATGGGTCATTGAGCTCTTACCATTTGATATAACCTACAAACCATGGCGAGCTATCAAGTCACAAGTTCTGGCTGACTTCATCGTCGAATGGACCGAAGCTGAACTCCCTAAAGAGTACGACGCATACTCCAATTGGATCATGCATTTCGACGGCTCCAAAATGTTGGCTGGCTTGGGGGTTGGCGTCGTCTTGACGTCCCCAACCGGAGACACAGTCCAATACGTGCTTCAAATAATGTACACGGACTCCAACAATGCAGCCGAATACGAGGCCCTTCTACATGGCCTCCGGATGGCAATCTCTATGGGTATTCAACGCCTAGAGGTGCGCGGGGATTCAAACCTCGCAATATCCCAAGTAAATGGAGACTTTGACGCCAAGGATCCGAAAATGGCAGCCTACCGTAATGCCGTCCTAAAAATGTCAGCCCGGTTCGAAGGACTCAAATTTCACCATGTAGCCCGGGATAATAACCAGGCAGCAGACGTGTTGGCACGCATCGGCGCAAAACGCGACGCCGTCCCTCCAAACATCTTCCTGGAACGGCTCTTTAAGCCATCCGTATTATGGGAAGAGGAGTCCGGAAATAACAATCCGGAACCAACTGCATCACCTAACGC